TTCAGAATGGGAAAAGGTATTTGTATATTATGAACCAGAGAAAAGCTTGATGACTAGGATCTACAGCTCAATTTACAGTTGCCAACCTAAATGCCGCCAACCCAGGAATGGATTAACAAGCTGTGGTATATGTATAACATAGAATACTATTTAGCCTCTTAAAAAAGTGGAGACTTTGTATCTTTTGTATTAACCTAGGTGGAGGTGGAACACACTCTTCTTAGTAAAGCATCACAAGAATGGAGAAGCAAGAATCCAATGTACTCCATTCTAGCATGAAAGCAGTAGATGAGCTAATACAAGGTGGGGGGTAGGGGAATGAGGGAGAGGGGAGGATGGGAGGGGCCGGGGGGTAGGACATACTTGTTGTGGGTGGGACATAATTATAAGAGGGACTTTATTTAACAAATGTAATCAGTGTAACCTAATTCTTTGTGCCCTCAATGAATCCCAAATAATAATTTTTAAAAAGCTGAAAGAAAAAACCAGCATCAAAAAGGGACAAAAAAATGTAAGTTGGAAAAAAAAATACAAAAAACTATAGGGTGCTTTGAGATGCTGTAATAAGGACAGCCTAATTTAGTATTGTGGGAATGAGGTGGAAGAGGGGAGGAAGGGGAAATTTATGCTAACATCTGAAGAACGAATACCAAACTGTACATGGAAGAACATTCAAGGCAGAGAGAACAGCATGTGTGAATTCTGTGAGGTAGTAGGGAACAAGGTCTAGTCAAGGTCATGGGTTACTGTGGGAGATGGATGGAGGTGGAGAAGCACAAAGTTAGGAGTGGATACACAGTTAAGCATTCTTTATAAGGCAAGATTTTCACTTGAGTTTACAAATTGCAAAAAGTCTTATTAACCTCAGAATTTGTTATCCAAGTCATTCCTAAAAATAAGGTTATCACACAATATTAGACAAAGTCACTAGAACAAAAATCAGAGCCCAGAAATCAATCTGAGTATTTATGGGAAAAGGATAGTTTATTTAAAAAACAGTTCCAGCTCAATTAGCTATTCATCTAGAAGAAGAGGGAGTTAGGCCTACACCTTGCACCATTTACAAAAACAAATTTTATGTGTATTACAAATTTAATTTAAATTTTAAAAAGTAAAAATTTTAGAAATTTTAGGAGGATGTTTATTTATATAATCTTGAGTAGACTGGAGTAGATTTTGAAAATTAAGACTAGAAACCTCAGAACTAGTGCAAAGTAGATTAATAAGCACACGTTTACAGCAAATATGACAGGTAAACTGATTATATCCCTAATATACAAAGAGCATTTATGAATTAATAAGAAAAAGAAAAGAGGAAAATAGGGAATAATGTGATTGGGCATTTCACTGAAGACGAACTCCAGCTGGTTGATAAGGGTAGGACAAGGGGTAGGCTAGTGGAGAAAAGGAAAGAAATCTTTGTATTGTTATAGTGGTTGTGGTGAATTATGTTCATCTTGTAATAATAGAAGAGGAATTAACTTTTTAAAAGAATTAGCTATAATAGTTATTATACAAATGAATAGGAAAATATAAATGAGTAATATGTTTGCCTAGGAGTATTTGGAAATAGTTTGAGTATTAGCAGAATGAACTCTTTCAATATCATGAATAACTTTTGGAAAGTACTTCAGTGAGGGATTTAGTAAAATTATGGCAGTTTTCCTTTGTTCGGGGATATCTGGCAGTTCAGAAACATAATTATATGTGCTTAGACACATGTCAGTAGAAGTGCTGTGTTACTGACCTAGAAACTTTAATTGTTTTCTACTCTTACGCTTTCAATATTAAGTGCAGAAATTGTTTAAGCACAAACAAATTGACATTACTACTGCAGTTTCATAAAGAAGAATGTCAAACTTCAGTCTCTTTTCTTTCAAAGCAAGAAGTGATGGACAAGTATGAAATCTATGGGGACTCAGTTGACTCCCTGCCTGCATGTCAGCTGGAGGTGCAGTTGTATCAGAAGAAAATACAGGACCTTTCTGACAATAGAGAAAAATTAACCAGTATCTTAAAGGAGGTTTGTATCATATGGAATTTTCATGTCTTTATTATGTAATAACTTACTGTAGTTCCTTTGATTTTCCTTTCCCTTTTTGTTATTTTCCTAAAGAAAAGAAGGATCATTCTATGGCAATGTTTTTCAGCCTTTTTTACCTCATGGCACCCTCGAACCTAAAGTTAAATGTCTGTAGTACACTTACATTATGTTGATCAAACAAAAAAAAGAATTAAAAAAAATACTTACTGTGCTTTTAGTGTCTTTCAAAAATAATTTAATTAATCTTTAAAAATTTGTGCCTCACACCAGTTGAAATCACTGTTCTAGAGTATGATAAATGTGGCACTGAATGCTGGGAAATAAAATGCTCTTCTTTTTAAATGTAGCAGTAGCAAGACCCATTTTCTAACCTTCTGGTAAAATGAATAATCAGTTGACTAACATAGCACATTGCCACGTGTGTTTTGAAAGATGGTGCAATAGTCCTCCATTATCAGGGGCAGAGAGAAGTTCCAAGACTGCCAGTGGATGCTTGAAACTGTGGATGGTAGTGAACCCTATGTATACTGTTTTTCATGTATACCGATGATAAAGTTTAATTTATGATTTGGGCACAGTAGGAGATTAGCAACAGTAACTATTAATGAAAGAATAATTGTAACAATATACTATAATAAGTTATATGAATGTGCTCTCTTTCTCAAAATACCTCATTGTACTCTCCCTTGTTTTATTGCAATGATGAAATGCCTCCGTGATGAGAGGAAATGGAGTGCCTGATGCTGGGGTTGTGACATACCACTAGGCTACTGCCGACCTTCTGACCATACGTCAGGAGGATCATCTGCTTCGCGCCGTCCTGGGTCATCACACCCTTACAGTGTCTGTGGCTGGGTGTTGATGACTAAAGGACAGGGTCTATATATACCGTGGAGACACTGGACAAAGGGATGATTCATATCCAGGGTGGGACAGTGCAGGACACAGCAAGATTTCACCATGCTATTCAGAGCAGCTTGCAATTAGAAATTTATAAAGTTTTATTTCTGAAATTTTCCGTTTAATATTGTTGCACCATGGTTGACCTTGGGTAACTGAAACCACAGAAAGTGAACCCGTGGGTGAGGGGACTGATACAGAATTTTAAACCTGTTCTAGCAGCTGGATATGATCTTATAGTCAGAAAGCATAAAATCTCAACTTTGTGTCTTTATAGCAAAGCTTTTGCCCTGAAGCACGAGAGCTAATGGCATTTTAGTTGCTCAGTCTACAAGTCCCCAGGTTCACTAACATTGCAGTTGAGAAATGATTTCCTTTTTGGGGAGAAGTGAGGGTTAGAAGCTGAGATTGCCTGAGGTATTCTTTCCCAGCAACATTATCCCCTCATCTGCCATTAAGAGTCACCCAGAAACGTTTGAGATCTTCTGCTTTTGGTTGTTTTTATGGGCTACCCTTTTTTCTTTATTTGTCCCACCTTAGTTCAGATCCTAACCCCTTCAACTCTAGTCTCATGGCTGATCTGAACATACGTCTCTTCCAATCGCTGACAGACGGCGTGATAAAAACCACATCTTTGCTCCGCTCGGCACTCCTAGTGCTGTCCTATCGTTTCTTTTATTCTGCCTACATTTGCTGGGCTTTCAGAATCTCAACAGTTTTATCTCATTTTAAAATTGTACTTTATTAAAACTCACCCTAGAAAATATTCTTTCAGTTTGTTTATAAATCTTCACTGGTTTATTCACTTTAAATACTTCCCATAAAATACAGAGCCTGAACTTGGAGGACCAAATTGAGAGTGAAGAGTCAGAACTGAAAAAATTGAAGACTGAAGAAAATTCATTCAAAAGACTGATGATTGTGAAGAAGGAAAAACTTGCCACAGCACAATTCAAAATAAACAAGAAGCACGAGGACATTAAGCAATACAAACGCACAGTAATTGAGTATGATGTTACCTTCAATTTTAGCACATTAGAAAGTAACTAGGCTAAGCTAATACATCCCCCCACCATACCACCCCAGACTCCAAAACTACTGTATTTTCAAAAAGGGTTTAAACAGTTTTATCTTCATTCCACATTTAGGTGACTAGAACAGATGAGTTAATTATGAAACTTATACTGCTGAGTCTAGGTTGAGAGATGTTTTAGCTCTCAGTTTGGGAGGATTAGATACACGGTTCCAGTCTGTGTGTATCATTCTCCAGAGGGTTTGGTGCTACCACTTGTTTCACTGCACTTCAGTGACAGTGATTTAGAGGTGGACTAGAGTGAATCTGTGGTCTGTCATAGTCCAGCTGGTCTGTAGAGTTACGGCATTCACTGAGTAAAAGTCTTGATATTTTATTCAGGTAAGAATTAATACTTTGCTGAACATGTTTTTACCAGTATGTCAGGGTATTTCACTGGTAGGGTCTTCTCCCTGTCAGTTCTAAAAATGTGTTTTCAGAACACCTGTCTCAGATACATTTATGATGTTATTCTTTCAATCCCTAAAAGATTCATTAAGGATCAAAGTCATCTGAGTATTTTTTTCATACTTCCCTATGCAGATGAAGAAAAAGAGCAGAACCTGAGGATTTTTTATTTGTTATCAAACTGCCTTGCAGAAAATTTATATGTTACTAATTCATGTTCCTACCAATAGTACCTAAGTGTGTACAAGTGGAAAAATGTAACTTAGAATCTCCAATTTATAGACTACTTTTTGGGTGAAATTGTTTGTTACCTGTCGTGAAGGCATTAGCACCGTACTTAGGGGTTTTCATTTGTTTGGTTTTTATCTTGAGAAGTGTTTTAGATGTGTCAAACAAATACTGACACAGGCTCACTTTGGAATCAAAATTAGAATTAAGTGTTTGCCTTTTTAGGTGCCTAAAAGAATTATAAGTTAGCTGTCTCTGTTTTCCTTTAGGGATTGCAATAAAGTTCAAGAAAAAAGAGGAGCTGTCTATGAGCAAGTAACCACAATTAATCAAGAAATCCAAAAATTTAAATCTGGAAGTCAGCAACTAAAAGATGCTACTGAACGGGAGGAACTGAAGTCCAAGGTGAGTATGTGTTCACAAGGAATTAATTTTAGATAATGTCATGAATTTAAAATGCAAATTACTCCATTCCTGGAGGAGAAATTGACTCCACAATTTACTTTTACTTCCATTTGTAGCACCTTTTCTCTCACCTTTGTATAATTTGTCTGTGTATTTCCTCTGTACTTTTTTCTTTCTTGCCTTTTTTCCCAACAACATATAACAGAATGTTGTTCTTTAT